ATTTCTTGGCGTCCAGTTTTCATGTGTTCCAGCTTGTTGTTATTCATTTCTGGAAGTACTATGGTTGTAGCATGTTCTGCTGCATGTTGATTGGCGAAAATAGCAATGATGTTCATTTTCTATTTTTTTCTCTCACTGCGCACAGTGAGTAGTTCTTCAGGAGAGTTGAGTGCAAGAATAATGTGTTCTAGTTTTTGGTATGTTGTTTTTCTTTTAACTAGATTTGCAGCGATACCAACTTTGTAGCGTTCTTTGCCATATCTGGTTGCTCTGTCAAAAGGTGATCTTGGTCTTGGTCTGTCTTGGGGATTATCAGTTTCTCTGCCTTTGCCTTTTGTGATTGTGATCCATCTTTGTTCTGGATTGTCTCTTCTTTCGGTTTCCATTTCTTAATCGGTGTCATCAATTCTGGTATGCATTGGTTTGCTGCTAATTGTGTTGAACTCTTGGTTAATGACTTGTTTACTTGTGTTGTTAGATGTGGCCAAGTGTGTTTCCACTATTTTGCTCCAGGAAGATGCTGATGTTGATGATTCTTGGCTTTGTTGTGAAAAGTATTCTGTGTTTGGTTGTTGCTATTGTTGATTGTCTTGAAGGATTTCTTTTGGTTGTATATCAGTGCTTAGAGTTTCTACTGTTGTTTGTTGGTTGTTGTTCGTAATTGTGCCAAGTGATTGTTGTGTGAGTTTCTTGGTTGCTACAATAGTGGGCTTCTTTGCATATGGTTGTGTTCTGGGGGTACCTAGGTCTTTGCCTGCTCTCTTCTCATATCTCAGTGTGTGTTCTGTTGTGGGGGGAGTGTTGGAAACTTTGGAGCTTTGTTGGTAGCTTGACATCTTTCCTTTACTTTCGTCCTGTCACTTTCCAAAAAAGAAAATTTTTAGGAAATCTGTTGTGTACGGGAAAGAGTTTTTTTTTTTTTTTAAAAGAAAATAATAATATAATAAATATTATATATTCTTAGATATATTTTTTTTGTTTTCCAAACAAATATACTGTAAATATAATTAATATAATTAATAATAAGAGATAAACAAAATATATTAAAAAGTTTTATAATATTTTGAAAGATTTTAGAATATTTTATAGGATTTAAAAAAGATTCAAAAAGTTCTACAATATTTTAAGATATTTCAGAATATTTTAAAGATTTCTAGTTACAAAAGCAAAAAAATTTATAAAGTATAAATAATTTTAATTATTATTTGTTATTATATTATAAAGTAGAATATAAGTTATTATAATTAAATATTATTTTTAAATTTCTACTATTTTATAATAATTATTTTTAATAGTATTATTTATAATAAATCTGTTGTTAACCTGAACCAAGATCTGTATTTCTTAAATAGTAGAATTTTTTTTATAATATTAAAAATTTTTAACTAAAAATTTACTTTTCAGTTATTTTTTTAAATAATTTTAATTTTAATTATATATTATTTTATGATAATATTTATCTTTATTTATTTAATAAAAATTTAAAGTTTAATTATAGGCTAAATTTTTAATTTTTAAAATAATTTTTTTAAATAAAAGTTAGTTTTAAACAAATTTAAAAAATTTTCAATTAAAGTTCATATAATTTATAAGTAATTTTATAGAATTATTTGTAAATAATAACTTTAATTTTTATAAATTTAATTATTTAATTATAAATTTTAACTTGTATTGAAAGTAAAATAATTTTTTAATATTAAAATAATTTTTTATTTAATAAAGTTAATTAATAATACCTTAAACTAAATTTTTTATAATATAAATAAATTATAAAAATTAAAATTTAAAATTTTAGTAAAAAATTTCCAACTTATTAAAATTTTAAATATGCAGGCAAATTTGCTTGCATTACAATTTAAAGAATAATATTAAATAAGTGGATTTTTATTACTTGCAATATTAAATATACTTGATATTAATATTATTATTTAACTTTCTTTTTAACATTTTTTTTCTTTTAATTTATATTTCCAAATTTAATATCTTTTTAAATATTTTAAAACAACTAGCAATTAAAATAAGTTTATTAATCATTATTGCACAAGTGCAAAAAATTATTTTACAATATAATTTATTGGTTAATTTATTTAATTTATTATTTTTTGATTATATTGTCAATTTATATAATTGTAATATATTCTAATTTATTGATATTTTTCATAAATTCAATAAACTTCTAGATATTTTGTGTTTTAAAAATAATTGATATATGCAAGTCTGGTTTTATTTTTGTCAAAAATATTCAGTTGTGATATTATATTATTTTGTTGTCCAATATTTTTCTCAAATTGGTTTTTATTATTATTTAAGTTATTAATGATATTTTGATTATTTATTATATTTAATTTTGACAAATATAAATATTTGTTCAAAAAATTATATTATTCTCTATTAGCTATTAAAGATTTCAATAGCAAATATAAAAAACTTTTATATAATAAAGGTCTTTTCATTCGGAACTATAATACAATAATAATGGATAGATTCAAATTTTTATAATGAATTTTTATTTATTGTATACTTTTCAATAATAATTGTCAAAATTATATTTTAATAAAGCTAAAAAAGTGTTTGGTTTTAAACTCAATTATATTATTTCTAGTATATTTATAAAAATGAGAGTTCTGTTTATCTAGTTTCATTATTTTATATTCTATAATACTATTATAATGGTAAATTTAAGCCAATAAGTTGATGACTTGGATGATAAAAACAGATGTTAAAAAGAAGATAACAAGTCTTTTAATCAGATATATTACATTAAGTAACAAATGTTTAATTTAATTAAGCAATAAATTATTAAAACTATCACTACTAAGTATTTGTATTAGAGAAAAATTTGGATTATTGTTTAACATATCAGAAAATAATTTAGATTGTGGTTCAACTTTGCTTGTATATTTACAAATATATTGCAAAGCATATGAATACTAAATATAAGTTTAAGATCCACATTTGTTCTCCAATCCTGAAGTTGAAATCAATTGTATAAATTTATATATAGAGCATTCCTTGCTTAAACAGGTTCTGGTTAGCCATGACTATTATCATGTATAAAAGTATAAATTACTTTTTCCTTAAGGTAACTAAATTTACATACTTGTTTTTTCGGTTTTTTTGCTTATACAAAGACTATATTTAGGACTGGATCATGTTGGCGGCTGTAGTTTGTTAATTATCTCGGCATAATCTTGCAAATCATCATTTAGCACTCCAAAATGCTTCTGATATGGAAAATGATAAGGCATTGATATATATGATTTGGGATAAATTGTAGTAACCAAAGATATTGTATAATATTTTACATAGTACTATTGTCTTTTTTCATCTTTTTCCATCCAACTATTGATGCATTGCATCTTTTGCTGATTTCATGCATGTGGATACTATCACGGTGCTGCCATTTAAACCAATACCACCAATCAATTAAATCTTATTGTGAGCATAGTAGTTTATGAAAAATAGCCTCAAAACACTTTTCAAAGAACCAATCTGCAATATGAGGATTATTAATAAGGTCATGATGACAATGTTAGGTGAATTCTTGGATAGACTCATAACTTTCAAATTTTTTACTGTTTGGCATAAGATCATGAAACTCAGGCCAATGTAAATCGGCAGCATTAAAAGTAAAAAAAGTAATCTATCTGATCCTAACTGTTTAATAATATCTGATAGTTCTGAATGCCGTTTTTATCCAAAACTGTCGACTCCCTCGCAGACCCTCATCGAATCGTATCACTCGATTAGCCTTGCTGCTATCGATCTGGATTTCAGCGATAGTAAGTTGTTTGTCAGCAAAATTTTGTTTAACATATATTCTTCCTGTAAAGCCTGCCATAGCATCTAGAATTATAAGCAAAATACCACCACAAAGGTGTTGTGTAAATATACCATCTTTCTATTTCAGTAAATGCCGAAAATATCCAGTCGGCTTGACATCTTTAACACGTTCAGCATGAAAATCAGCACAACCAGTTGGATATAAAGCCGGAAAAGCACATGCCATACATCTAACTATATGAAATTCATTAATTTGATCACCACCAATACTTGACTACATAACAGAAGTACTTTCGACATGCTTATGGCATCTTGCATGTGGTTTAGAGTGTCTCTAATGGCTATATCTTCACGGATACCTGGGGGAAGAGTAAGAATAAATGTTTGGGTAATTACATCATATTTACTATTATAATTTTCGGATACGTTCAAATATTCATGCTGCTGTTGTCTTCGACTGGTCTATTATCATATAACCATGGAAGATCGTCATTTGTAGGCCATTTTCTGGCAAAGGTCTAAGTATATCTTTTGAGATTATAACATCAGCATGGTTGGATTAATTGTGTTTAGCTATTTTAATTGCATGAGTAATCTTTTCCCTACGAAAATTAAAGTCTTTAAACGATCAGTTTGCAGATTGTCGACATACAATGATAATTTTTAAAGATGAATAATAGGGAAGGCGAGTTGCAAATTCTACAATGTTCTGCGGAAAATTTATAACATTCCATGGTATCCATATTGTCCACCAAGGAGGTTACATACTGATATAACAGTGAATACTCTTGAAATCAACATCTCTTCTATTCCTGTCAGGGTTTGAAGCCCAGTAGCACATCCCCTGGATCCATGTTATTCTCAGCAGAAAATCTCCTTGGCAAATCTTTTTCACGATAGTAGCATTGACATTCAGGATTTGTAAGCTTTATACTGTAGATGGATAATACTTGTTGCATGCAAATTTTTTAAGGTTGCTATATACAGTACAGTAATCGCGATACTTTTTAAGAAGTTGTCGATCATATTGTGTAAGTTCCATACTGTAGCACTTTGATAATTTATTTCATTATCTGAGTTTTTTTTGCTATAATCATTACATTGTTTCTCATGATTCTTTTTAAGATGATTGCTATATTATTCAGAAGCCTCTCATACACGACGTCTCTGTTGTCTCTCTTTATCCTTCCTTCTTTGAATGTTACGCTCCTCCGAACTCATCCGTTCCCGGCGTCACTGGTCTCTTTTGCGTCTCCTCTCAAGGTATATGTTATTTTTCTCCGAAATCGCCAGTTCCCGATATAATCCATTTTTTTGCGCCTTCTCTTAATGTAAGTGTTACTTTCCTCGGAGATCTTTTCATGCTGTCTTGCTATGATTGACCATTTTAATTGATACTTGTGTAGTAAATGCTGCAATATACTCATAACGAAAAGATGTATTATATTTTAGCATTTATAGTACCATGTACAGTGTATCATTTAGTTTTGCATATACTGTAATCAAGAATTCATTTTACTTTAATTTAATTACATGTATTTAAAAATTTCCTTTAAACTTTTTTAGTAATGACCTGTCTTAAACATAATCTCTGAGTATCATACAGTATATATAAATTTAAAATCTCTCGCATTTACACACTAACTTTAATCATAGCATCATTTTGTTTTGCGTGTAATCAAGGATGTATGTATATTTACTTTATGAAATCATTTAATGATTTCTCCCTTTTATTTCTAGTACTATTTATTTTAACTATTTATATTTAAAAGTTGCATTTAAACTTTTTTAATAATGACCTGTCTTGAACGTAGTCCGTTGAGTATCACTATACATAAATTCTAAAATCTCTCGCATTTGCACGCTAACTTTAATAATAGCATTATTTAGCTCACGTGTAATCGCATTACTTTATGTAATCATTTAATGATTTCGCTTTTACATATACACTAATAAATTTTCTAAACTTTTTAATAATAATCTGTCTTAAATGTAACTCTATTATTAAAGTCTGCCTATTTAATAACTTTCTATATGGCCCAAACTTTTAATACTACTGTATTTTAATAATATAAAAACAATTTTCTAAACCGTAAAGTCCTCCACTCGGAAAGTAAAAAATTGATTTTTAAAAAAAAAATAAAAATATCAATTACTTAAAATTTTCATTAAATTAATATAAAAACTATTTTATTAAAATATTTAAAATATTGCTTTTACAAAATTTTTATGTAATATACAGTATACAGTATATTGATTTTAAGAATATAAATTTATTTTTGAATAATTTTATAAGCTAAAAGTCGATTTTAAAATTTAATATTTATTAAAAAAATAAAAAATAAGATTCATCAATATTTATATTTACATTTATGTGTTTTAATATATTTATACTATATTGTTCTTTTTTAAAAAAAATATTTTTCAAAAAATTTTTAAAATACGCCATATACTATATACAGTAGTTGGCACCTACATGCCTTATATATTTGGGTAATTCTTTTTGAAGGCGGACAGGGATTTTTCTGACTTTATAATTGTACTCCTAGAATTTATATTGT